TAGAAAAAAATTAATTTTGGTACGGTTGTATGTCGCATTCCAAATTGTATTTTCAGACAAAAAAATTAATTCCGTACCATTGTAAAAAATTCTAATGCTCATAAAAAGTTTAAATTTAAAAATTTTTCACTGAAATTTACGGAGTGTATTTCAGGTGAGTAGAACTACATTTGAGCGAAAAATCTCCTGGAAATTCGAACGTCGGCAAATTTGTGACCCACTTGAGATGGCCTTACCCATATATAACTGACTTCCAAAATATGTAACATATAAGACCACTTATAACCACATTTATCTTTAAAACAACAAAAGATAGGAAACAAGTGTCTGTATATAAAGTATAGCTTTTGAGGTTTATTATCAGGATAAATTAAAAACTTCCGGTTTTTACACTAGTTTCAGAAATATAAAGAGATGTATATGTATATGTGCGAATGTAACGTTAACGACACAAATCTTGACCATATGGTCTTTATAACATTTAAGTACATATTGTTGTTAAAAATGTTAGGTTAGTTCTGAGCTCGCGGTCTCTTGGGACGGGGCCTTCTCGAATCGGGTGCCCGTGGCATTTTACCAGACCTGCCGCATCTGCATGGAAATGGCGTTTTTGAAATTTTTTCATATGATGTGACCATCGGAATGGGCTGGCTGTAGATATTTCATCTATTTATTATATTTTTAATGTCCTGCCAAAAGGACAGCCCGTCTAAAGAATGCTGACTTATTCTTGCAACAATGCACTTTCAACATGAGCTGGTAGTACTTTAATGCCCTTGAATTAATTTTCTATATACTGTAAATAAAATCTGAAGTATGTTAAGTAATCGGTTTTTATAGACATCTCTAATAGCTAAAAACGCATAATCCAGACCGCTGTTCGGCAGCCAGCCCTCCGGATATCGGTTTCTATATTAACAAGCTAAGCTCACAAAAAATTTCAATCGATCTGAAATATGATAAGTTTTTTGGTCAAGAGCTCTTGGTCTATGAGTTTGGCCAAAATAGTAATATATGTATACTTACGTCATAGTCATTAGTAAAATATCAAAGTAATCTCTGGCAATTGGAAAGTCTGTATGCTGGAAAAGTGTCGTCATTTTATGTAAAATTTTTACATAAAAGCCAGTAACTCGAAAATATTGCTCCACATATTGGATGTCTTCTTTTAGTTCCTAAGAGTGAAAGGGAACAAAAATTTTACGAATAATTTAAAAAGTTTGTTAATGACCATGGTTCAATAATAGAAAGTTGGATAAGCTGACGTTATCTCGCTCTCGCTCGCTGCCTTAGCGTGTGTTGTCTGCTTTTTGTAATTAATACATATCGCCACTAGACACGAATAAAGGCTCGTCATTGTTTTGACAACGAAAAAGGCGCGTAAAAAATCTTCGGCAAAAAAGACGCGTAAACCTAGTTGACGGCGAGAAGAAAGACGCGTAAACATAGATTTATACTTAGCCAAGGACTGTCATTTCAGCATTATTCACCAAAAGCTCATTGGGGAATGTACATACTAAGATTTGCTTCAGTTGAAATCTGGCAGGTATTAAGTAACAAAAAAAACTAATTTAAATGTGAACAATTCAGTCGAAACTTTTGTAGAACCTTCTTTTATTTCTATTTAGATGAAAGATTTACAAATAGTATTAGAATTAATTTCCACGCCAAAATACCCGTACTTTAGAGATGACACCCGCCATTAATACTTGGACATCCCTTTCGTTGATCGATTGAGCCTGTTTTCGCCACATTCTCCGGAAGTGCGTCATTCTTGAAGGTGTGCATTTTGTTTCTTTTTAATTTTGATTTCATATAAGCCAAATAACGCTCGATCGTTTGGAGCTCTGGACAATTCGGAGGATTGGCCTCTTTTAGTACGATGTTGATCCCATTTTGTGTAAAAAAACTCTTGCGCTTTTTTTGCACAATGGCTTGTTGCCAAATCAGGCCAAAATACATGCTCTCAGAACAACACTCCAGGTGCAACAACACGTTCAGAGAGATTCGGATTCCTTTCCAAAGTCTTTGGAACATCCTTCTCCACTATTTTATTTATAGTGCCTGATTTCCGCTAGATTCCGCCTTTCTCTCAATGCTGCCATTTTTCTTGATATTTGACAATACATTTTGTACCGTCGACCTTCCAGTTTTCAGCAATTTTACTAACCGACATTGGGAGATGTGTGGATTTTTCATGAATTAGTCCAAAATCAATTTTCTTTGCTGAGGTTCTTTGCTCTCCACATCAATTATTTTTAAAATTGCGCATATGAAAATTAACCGTAATAAAAAACAACGATAGCAAAATCAGCACACTAAATAAACGGCTGATCGAGTAGTCGATAACAAAGTTATGCTATGTATAGTGCTGCCAAATTTCAAATGAAGTAGATCTTATTACACCCGCAAACATAGTTGATAAGTTTACGTGTCTTTTTTTCACCGTCAAATAGGTTAACGCGTCTTTCTTCGCCGTCGACTGCTTCGTTTTTCGAAGTCAACTTTTGAGCTCGCGCCTTTGTTCATGTCTAGTGACGATATAAGCTACTACTAAATACATAAAAAGTTCAACAGGCAACACTTTTACCATTTTTATCGTATGTCAGGTTAGCTTTTCCTTTAGTTGGAATTTTATGTGAATAAAGTTCTTACTATTCTTCAATTAGTTTACTTTTAATTTTTATTATAGCATTCTTAATAAGCCACACAATTTGAATTCTATATCCATTGAATAGAGCAGTGGAAGCTGCTTTAAATATTGAATCATATTTTATACGATATAACTGTACATAATAATGTACAAAACGCATTTCTGCCTACCTTTTCACAAAAGGGATCAAATTATTACATCTTTCTCTATACTCCTCAAATTCGACCTTACAAAGCAGTAAACGCAAATGTCAATATTTATCGAACCTTTAATAATTGAATCATGGTTAATGACAAGCGAAATAAACAATTTTAACATAAATAAATTCAAATTGATTTAAGGCGGATTCATCCTTCTAGTTCTGAATTTCTCTCTCTGGGAGAGAAACGTAACAACAATCACATGGAAGAAAATTTCTGAACTAAAACGATGAATTCGCCTATATTTACGACGAGATAGAAAACTTGATACCATTATTTTAAAGCAAGTGATATCCCTATTTATGATTCTCTGTATCGATTCATTTCAATAATATAATAATATTGACTTAAGTGTATGCAATTATACTGGGCAACACAATTTAGCGACAGAGCCATTGAGATATAATTTCTCTAAAAAAATTTCCGTAAAAAATTATTCAATACGACAACCTAAACTTTGCTCTTTTAGGCCAAAATATATGATACGGTGTGCGGTATGCAGCCTGTCAAAATAAAATATGTGTAAACCCTATGAACTGAACACAATCCACAACACAAGCTCAGGCTGTCGGTTGATTGCACGCCAAGTTTGTAGCCGAGCAATTTCTACCCAACAAGCGTTTCAGTATTTTTTTTTTTTAAATAAGTTAAAATGTGTTTGCTATAATAAGCGTTAAATAAGCATTTTTAGTATTAACTCTGCAGTGAAACCCCAAACTAGTCAGGAAAAATACTAGTAGTGACTGAAACCGAACTAGGTCGAAAATGACAAGCCTTGTACCAAGTACAAAACGATTTATTCATGCCCTGTTTTATTTGACTTCGACAGTATAATACAATAGAGTGCACAACATATTATAACTTTTATTTGGGTATATTGTAAACCGTTAAAGCGAGTACGTACTCGCAATTATACCATACTTGTTAAATAATCATGTGTGAATTGCAGGGGAATAGCTGCTTAACAAATGAAAATGTGGGAAAAAAGCAACGATAATTTACAAGGCGGACTTAGCACAGAGCGTAGGCAACTGACTGAGTCAGTGGGATCGCCGGTTCGAATCCTACTGAAAGAAGTCTGATGAGGAAATGTGGCGATTTCCGAAATAGCTATCACTTCTACCATTTTTTCAAATTATTGTTGCTTTTCCACAATAAGTTTTTCATTAAAAACGGCCTCAAGCTCAATAAAAATTGTTGAATATAAAATATTCAATATTATTAAAAAAGATAGAAATATAGTATTTATTTTACCTGAAACCTTTTACTTTTAATAACATTCAATGAAAAATTCACTTAAATTTATGCTCGAAAGTTTGGAATATTTATGTATTTATTTTTGCTTTTAATTAATACTTAAAATTTTTAACACTAATTATTGGCAAATCGAAGGCTGCTAAATAAAAATGTGTAATAAATTAAAGTGTACTTAATAAAAAGTTTTTTATTGTATATTCATGACTTCATTTTATTTTTTGACTCCCAAAGTAGTGTTTTTGGTCCATAACTGGACTAGTGTTTTTCTGCCTAGTATGAGGCTGGTATATTTCTGACCGAAATCTGACAATGGCCATCTCGTAGGACATCCCCACGTTAAAAATACCAGTTGATTGCATGGAAAAAAGATAGTTGTCTGACTAGTTGGGCATGCGGTTCATACTAGTTTTGAGGTAGTTTACAAATAGTACATTTGACTACAGGGAAGTTTATTTAAAGATTTTTCAAATAAACCTTTAGTAAGTTTTGAGATCGAATGTTTGTAAATAAATGCCAACGTTATGAAGTTGTAAATATAACATTTTTTTTCAATTGTAAGTGACGTGTCTACGTTTTTTTAAATATATTTTAATCATAATATTAAAAGAATTTTATTTATATTATTAAAAGAAAAAAAAAAGAAAATCAATGCGGTAAAAACATACAGAAATGTCGCGTTTAAGAAGTGAAGTGCTTATGGATAGTGAAGTCCGCGGAGACCAAATTGAACATAACGTTACTTCCAATCAAGCCGCTTCGCTAATCGGTGGAATATTCGATCACTTCCTAGAAGGAAGGTATCTCAAAGTACATGAATTCAAAGCATACATTGACATACATACATACAGTCAGCGACAAAAAAATAAATACCCTGACATTTTGACAATTTTCTTTATTTATATTTTCCATACAATTTTTTTTATCCCATTATTTATTAAAACCATATTGCATATTTTTCGAGCTCAAGACCACATGAAAATCAAACAAAATTTTGTATTTGCTTTATTTGCCGATATTTCGACTTCAGTCTAAAGTCATCACCAGGACCGCAAATATACATTATTACAATTACACACATTAATATGTACATATAAACATAAACAAGTACAACTTACACACTTGGCTATGTTTGAATGAATGAAACAGATGAGCAAAATACAGTATTAAAACAAGCAAATTTGCAGACAGTGGAAAATATCAATATGAAAATGTAAACAATTGAAAATACAGTAATTGTAAACAAAAATCCACGAACAACAATACACAGGAAAACGAACAGATAAAGCCTGATTATGGCAACTTAACTTAATTTAACGGAACGTAGAACTTAGAGAATCAAAACAGATATCGTATTAAGTTACGTTAAGTTTCGGCTGTTGCCATAATCAGACCATAAGACATAAATATGTAAGTATATCGCTGCAGCTCTTTTTTGTTGTTGTCCGAAACATATAAGGTACGGAATGGCAGTGGACTGCGAACGAACACATGACACCTGCCTTAGAATTAAGTTGCGAGAAACATGCTCGCAATTGTCGGTGTCCGCTTTGAAGTTGATTCTTTTATTATTAGGGGTGTTCATAATGTGTAGCATTTCCAAAGTATATCGATTATGGTAATGTTTTCCTTTTTCTAAAATTGCTACGTTATCAAAGTTCTTACAATGATATGACAAGGCCGTCTTGTTGTCCGAAGAGTTGTTCCTTATTTTAATATTTGACTTACGAGCGGAAATCCTTGTCTTTAACTCTGATTTAGTTGTCCCCACATATACCTTATTGCATACGTGTGACCCGTCGCCACTGTATGGAATTTTATACACTACGTTGGATTTCTCATAATTCGGAATCCTGTTCTTGTATTGCTGTGGATTTGTCGTAGTGTGTTATTATATGTAAACACTATTGTATAATTATCTTTATCATATCCTGGCAGCGGGGTCGGTGACAATTGTCGCTTTCGTACTAGTTACATTATTAGTTCCAATAGCATATTATGATCCAGGCAGTAAGATATCGAGCTATTGGTTACATATTGCATCTTACACCTGTTATAAGAAGTCTGTACTCCATAAAATCTATCGCTGTCGGAGAGGATGGTATAAGCCTTAAGTTCCTGAAAATTATAGGTTTAAACATAGTTCCAAATTTTACTCACATTTAATTTTTCAATAACATCTTCAACTTTCCCCGATGCTTGGAAGGTAGCGAAAGTCATTCCAACTGCTAAAAAGCCATCGGCTACTTTGCCAACGGATTTTCGTCCAATGAGCATATTGCCAGTTCTTTTTAAACTCTGGGAAAAGTTAGTTGTTGTTCAAATTACTGAATACCCATGATTCAATAATAAAGGTTAGATAGTTATTGACAGCTGCGGTTTGACACTCCCTTACAAAAGGTTGCATTTACGAAGGACAAAGAAAGGGGAAGAATGAAATCTCTTGGTGCGAAAATGGTAGTAGGAAAGTACGCAAAGTAGGCAATTAGTAGTCAAATTCCTTTTGTAAATTCTAATGTATTTGCAGGAAATCTGGCATTTTAAACGAAATGTTGAACGTAATATTGATATATCAACGTGAATTGCGTAATTTATGTGCTATTTAGCTGTATAAAAACTGCAAAATGACTCAAAACTAAAATAAGACTACTCTGAGATTGATGTAAACATCCAATTTAAAAACAGTTTATGTTTTCATCAGTTAAATATGCATATACAAATAAACATATTGCACAAAAGCTTATACTTCTATTTCACACCAAAGCTACACTGTTTCCATGTAAATTTGCAAAGAAGCAACACGGTGCCACTGCTTAGGGAGCGGTGCGAGAGAGACAACTGTCAGTTTTTCGAACCTTGTATTATTGAATCATGCTGAATACCTCAATAAAAATAAGCTACTAACGGAATGTCAGTCTGGTTACAGAGTCCGCCATAGTTGTGCAACAGCTTTGCCCAAGGTTGTTGAAGATATTCGCCCTGCCTATGACAGAGGCGATTTAACTGTTCAAAAGCTTTCCACACAGTATATCATTCCATTCTTTTATTAAAATTAAATAATTATTTTGGATTCTCTGCTAGCGCTCTAAGATTGCTTGAAAATTACCTCAGTAATCGTTGGCAGAAAGTAGTTATTAAAAGCAACTGCACTGAGATGAAGAGTCTTTATTCGGGGGTGCCCTAGGGATCTATACTTGGTCCAATTTTGTTCAGTATATTTATTAACGATATAACTTGTTGTAAGAGTGTTTCGATACATTTGTATGCTAACGATGCACAAGTATATTTTTCTCGTTCGATTGGCTTATGAGGATTTGGTGTTTAGAATAAACGAAGACCTCGAACGCATCTCTTCGTGGGCGAAAGTTAATAACTTAAATCTAAATGCCTCTAAGACAAAAGCCATTTGTATTACGTATTCCTCGCAACTTGTAAAGAATTTACCGTATTTAACCTTACAGGGCATTACTATCAAATACGAGTCCGTTGTTACTAGCTTAGGGTTTAAATTAAATGCATACCTTGGATGTAAAGTTCATATTAACTATATTTTAAGCAAAATCTACTTTATTTTAAGAAAGTTATGGTACACGGCCGACTTCATTCCTTTAAATGTGAAATTGAAATTTGTGAGAACTCTCATAGCTCTATTGACATCGTTTGGTGGGCTCTTGTATGGAAATCTGGATTGTGAATCTCAGAAAAAGCTGCAACTTGCTCTGGTCAATTGTGCACGATATATCTTTTCGAAGCGAAAATTTGAACACATATCGGAGTTTTCTTTTAAGATAATTCGCTGCAGTCTTCCTGATTTCCTAAACTATCGGAACCTAGTTTTCCTAAATGAATTAATTTATAAAAGGCAACCAGAATACCTCTTTAGAAATTTATGTTTCGCGCAGTCAGACAAAACTTGCAACCTCATTGTTCCACGCTATAAATATCTCTCGTCATCTAGAATGTTCTTTGTCAGTGCTTTCAAACCATGTAACTCATTACCGAATGTCATTAAAAATGAGCGCAATACACTGCGCTTTAAATTAGCCTTAATGGAGTTTTTTTGCAATGGAAAACACACTTCTCTAACTCTGTTTACTTTATCTAAATACTTACAGTATCGGTCATATCTATAGCACGCCATTTCAAAGTGATATTGTGTGCAACTTATGTTTATTTATTTATTTTTGAGAATTTTCAATTAAAATACAGTTCTTTCTCTAACAAACCCCATATAAACCGAAGTTTAACAATTTGTAGAAAACTTCAAAAAAGTGCAACAAATTTTCACCTAAATTTCAAACTTTTTTCTCGGAAGTGTTTGAATTTTTCTGAATACACAGTTTTATAGCCCAATCAATTTTAGTCTGATAACGTGCAAGCTTCAAGTGACTGAAAGTTACCGTTGATTTTTTAGAATTTTTTTCGCCAAAGGTGTTGCGGTTTTCATCCATATACAAATAAATAAATAAATAAATTGAGTTTATTCATTATATAAAAGCCAATGCGACAAAAAAAATTCTAAAAAACTAACGGTAATTCGTAGCCACTTGAAATTTGCACATTATCAGACTAAAATTGTAGTGGCTAAAAAACTGTGTACTCAAAAAAATTCTAACACTTCCGAGAAAAAAGTTTAAAACTTAGGTGAAAATTTGTTGCCATTTTTTGAAGTTTTCTACAAATTGTTAAACTTCGGTTTATATGGGGTTTGTTAGATATGACCGATACTGTATGTATGTATGTATATGCTCTCCTACTTTATTTCTCACTAATCTAAATCTTCTTCTATATCTATATATATATAAAAAAGGATGTATGTATGTATGTATGTATCTATGCAGCTTATAGACTCCGAAACCATTCAGCCGATTTTGTTAAAATTTCCAGGATAGCTTCATAGAAACTCGGAGAGTGTTCCTGTGAAGTTTGGCTATTTTTGAAAGAGTTGCCACCTGTCAGAAAAATAAAATGTATTTAAATATGCAAGTAAAGTAAGTATAGATATCAAATGGAAGGTATTTGAGAGAGATATTTAAGAAAATTTACATCAAAAAATATTTTAATAAGTGTTGCCACCTGTCCAAGAAGTTAAAAAAAATGAATATCTAATGCAATTCACATCAAATATTGCAATATGGGTATCAAACGGAAGGTATTGGAGAAAGATTCACGCCAAACATATTTTTGAGTAGAGTTGCCACCTCTTTCAAAAAAAGTGAAATGATATAAATGTGTGTATTAAAAAGTATTTCGCAGGATACGTATCAAACGGGAGCTATTGGGAAATGTTTCAGTTAAGACCAATTATCGTATAGAGTGTCCACATACTTAAGAAAATAAAATCTGATAATATTTTTAAGAAATACCAAAGATTTAGAGTGTGATAAACTTCAAAGTCTGTCAAACCGAAAGCTTACCAGAAAGAAAATGCAGAATCCAAATTTTTAAATCTATATGTGAACATATGTATGTATGTTAATGCCAGAGTTGTGTAAATTTTCACCAGGTTGCAATTTAAAAACGGAATTTGTTTAATAGTTAAAAACCAAAAAAGTACTCAATATGAATGCATAACTTTAGTTTCTTATTGAATAAGGCTTAAAAAAATATAATAAAATTTGCAATAAAAAATGTTGTAATATTTTTTTCCTAATGCGCATACGAGATTTTGCTTGCATAATTTTCCTAAATTTGGGTGTATAAATTTTGGTATTTTTCCACAACATTCATGAAGAGAATACCTACATAGAAAACACTTTGTTACCTAAGTTCACATAAATAAAGGGTTTAAAAATTTCAAATTATTTGGGAGGAAAGTACCTGCAGAATTATAGCATTCGTTTTTATTTTACGGTTGAAGGTAGTTAAATATTGCTTACAATATTGCAAATGGATGTATAGAATTGACAACAACAACCACGCTGTCGAGTTT